ACCTTGTGCCTACCATTGCAGTACTGAAGAGAAGATTGTACAGAATCAACAGCCATTTGATCATTCACACTCATGATGGGATTAGAACTGGAAATATTTTCTATTTCTCAGAATCGTTGGATCAGAAGATCCAAGTCTTTTTCCCCACTGTTCATTTGTCAATCTTGTTAAATGTACCTGCTCCTTGTTTCTTGTTAACATGGAGCCCTTTTACATTCCCTACATACGTCCACCCCAAAAGTGTGCGTCTAGCCACCGGTTCCCCAGGCCTACCACAGACATCACCACGGGATGAGTGCAGTTCCTGATAATCCATACCTATAGGAAACTGTATGTCGCTCAAATGAGACCATTTCTGTGCATATTTGTGCCAATCAAAAACTTTCATGTTGCCAGTGACAACGGACATACTGTCAAACGTTTCTATTTTACTGTTAAGAAAGTTAACAGATGCTTGCATCATCTAACAAGGCATTGACCACTATTCTGTTTTTACCTTTCATTCTGTACAACTGGAATGGTTCTAAGTGCAGATAAATTAGATTGCTGCTTTGTAGTGGACTAGAAAATGCTCTCAGAGATAATAGTGCCTTTTTTATGAGTTACTCCAGCACCATTACCATTTTTATTTTTATTGCTTCCTTTGCAATCTTCATGTATCAGGCGATTTATGAGTAGCTTGACAACTGTCTATAAACACATTTTTCTGATATGGTACATGAAGCCCCATGATGTTTTGTTCCAAGACATCGACAACAAAGATTAAGTTCCTTTGCTTTATCGTATCGTTGGGGAACATCAAGAGATTTAAATATCCTGCATTTCTAAATCTTGTGATCGGAAGTTTTACAGACATGACAATGTTGTACCTTGCTTACACCCTGTGTCTGCTGAAACAATATATGTTCATTTGTTGCAGGAGCACTGCAAACATGAGCCATAAATTCAGCTTTCCACCCTTCATAGTGTTTTATATCTCCAGAGAAAGTTGGTATTGAAACTCTTTTCAATTGCTTCAATAAATCCTGGCCAATACTGTTATGAGTCAACCTAACTCACTCACGCTATGCAATTAACGATATGAAAGCCCCGAATCTAGAGTTCCATCATGTTCTGGTTTGGGATGTGGAACCTGTTCATAATTCTTGGACTTTTGCTGTGTGTGCTTGCCATCAGAACTGCAACTCTGAGCACCACCAACACTAGCTCCCTTATCAGACTCATGATGTTTACTGCCTTTTGCTCTATGAAAAGTTATACTTTTTCTGAGTGGTATATATCAGGTATTCCCAATGGAATAGACTTAGATGAACTTGAATCCAACGTGTTGCTAAGAGACACTTGTGCTTTGCCAACAGCTGAATCTATGACTTCCTCAATTTCATCAAGTCCAACAATTTATTCTTAGTTTTAGTCATCACTGATTTAGCAACTGTCTTTTGTTGTCTCAGGGCTGCTAATATGACATCTAAATTTTCTTCGGTGGATTCTGTCTCTTTGGAATCCACTTTTGATTTAGAACCTTGAGACATTATCCCGATTTTATGACTGTCATCTGAGAATTCTGGTTCTTTTTGAATCCACTTTTGATTTAGAACTATGAGAGATCATCCAGGTTTAATGAAGGCCCAGGATGTCTATAAATATTCACAGGTAATGTGCAGTGAAATATCTTTACAAAGAAGCCGTCTGAACTATCAAGTGGAGTCAAAAGATAAAAGACCCCAAGACTATCAAAGTTTGTTGCACAGTGGAAGGCGACAATCACATGTCTACTTTCCATTCTTCTGACTTCCACTTGAAATTATACAATTAATTGGGAACTAAACCTGATTCTCTTATCATGACATATATGGGGAACTAAATGTAATTCTCTTATCATAAAATATATGGGGAACTAAACGTAATTCTCTTATTAAATGAATTATAATAAAAAAACCATGACAACGAATGTAGGAATGAACCACTAACTATAGGAGCAAGTACACATTTTTCACTTATAAGGACCACAAATATTGGTCCAACTCATATCTATTAAGACCACGAATATTAGTCAATGACAACTAAGGTAAAGTGTGTCTTGCTCCAATGAACGAAATGCTTACACTGACGATTGTAGTATGTCACGTTAGAATCCATTTTTTCTGCACATGCAACGAATGCCACAATCTGATTTCCGCGGAGCATGTAGCGTTTATACAAATTGTTCATGTTACATGAACAGATACAATGTTTTGTTTTTAATTATCTCTCCTCAATAGTTGCACAAGCCTGTTAATGACCTATGAAAGAGAATGAATTGGTAGGACAGGTCACATGGTGAGGCAGCACGAGGTCCAAGCATTGCAACAGTTAATGGTGACCATCGTGACAGCTGGGATGTGTCTGGGTGATGTATTTTTGAAGCTTGGAAACAGGTTCAAGGATCATTTCCACTCAAGGATTGGAGCAAAAGAAAAAATGCATAGTGAGATGAGATAGGATAAGAATACAATTTATTATCAAATTTACAATTTACTGAATTATTTCATCAAGTAATTGAGAAAAAATTATTATTATTTTTTTTTTGAGGGGGGGGGGGCACCTGTGACACCTTATCAGCATGTACTAAGATAGCTTTCCTATTTTGCCCATGTGTATGTATAAGAGCACTGTTTTCTTTCAAAGTGGTAGAATGGTATTAAATGTACTGTGTTTTGAAATTTGATGTAGTCCACCAGTAATTAAAATAATTAGAATAAGTGGCATCTAATCCACAGTTAGACTACTTCTTATTTCAAAACTCAGTAGGTTTATCTTTTAAGTAACTCTCTTGTGCAGAATGACATAAAAGGCTGGAAGGTGATTTAATTTTTAGTGGTTGTTCAATTCAGTCATGTGCTATCCATACCACACTCTCCAAACTTGTCATGGGTCAAAGAAATACCTGATTTATGATTTCAGAATTAATGATCATGTGAAAATTCTGTCAATAGAAACTGTCTGTAGTTTCAATCGCATTCACAATAATACCGTCAAGGCGGTTTAAATGTGACATGTAACAATGACTTAGGTCAATGCATGTGATGACGTGTGATGAGGTTGAACTTCTATTTGCTGATGATTTAGCATAATGTTAAAGAAAAGTTTGAAAATGTCATTAAAAATATCCAGACGCTATGATGTGTTTGCTTCCAAATTTGTCCATCACAATTGACAAATGTGACTTAATCATTCAAATGTAATTAATAAACATCATGAACATGGTGAATGTTAACAGTCTTTTCAACTTCTGGTTACTCATCAAAATGTTCTGGCTGCTCCACGTGGCAAACACGCTGCCTTCTCTGGAAAATAAATACCTTAATTGTTGCTATTTAAACATAGAGGGACCTGGAACAATATTCATTATTTATGATGAATTGTCACAAGAAATGACAGAGAAATTGACAAAAGAGCCATTTTACATAATATACCATTTTGGAATGTATATTGAAGATATATAAATTTGCCAGCAGTTTGTTACATCACTTACAACAGTTTCTATTTCATGTCTTCTCACTATGAATATTTTTAATTACATTCTAAATACCAAGAAATTTGATAATTTCAGATTGTTTTCTCTCGCATGCCAGCATAATGAACCACTGATCATGGTAAATGATCTGTGATTGTACTCGTGATTAATTCCTCAAAAAGTCGACAATAAACAGAAATACATAAATATTATTGTAAATGCAATTACCTTTCAGTGTACAATGCTCATTATCAAATAATACATACATAATTATATATAAATGCAATGGAATCTGATGTTTACAATATTGACAATCCCATTGAGGGATCTTGGATGTCAGCAGATGGGGTACCAATCTTAGTCAAGTTATTTTGATTTTATTGAACTTTAAAGTTTTAAATTTCATCGCAAAATGTTCCCAAGTTTTTTACTGATTTAGGCATCACTTGGTTTTTGTTTTTTTTAACTTTTTCAAAATGCATGTGACCCAACAGTTTATTTTCGTTTTGTAACCAACTCGAGTTTTAATGATCGCAAAATGATCAGCAGGTTGTCCTTGTAGTTAATCAAAGAGTATGTTGTTATCAACCAATGAAATAGTTAAAAAATATTTGGGGATGAATCATAGATCATTTCCAAAGGAACCAATATACTATATATTTCTGTCCTAAATACTTTGCAGCAATGTTTGCTTGACTGAATGTTGGAAGTATGTTTTATTTTCCAGTTTGAGTCCAGCAAATTATTTGAATGTGAATTCTTGTGCAAAATAACTTATCAAATTCTCATCAAATCCAGGTTTAAGCTTGATATATGCACATATGATATACTTCAGCATAATTTAGTGGATGATCATATTTTCAATATATTTTTGCGCAACCACATTGCCAATATTATATTTTCACATGACTTGTGCATATTGCACTGATGCCAAAACCAACGACAATTTCAATCAGCCATACTTTCGCAAGTAACAGTAATTTTCAATTTATGATATCTCAGTGAAAAATCCATCAAATTATTGTACATCTTCATTGTAAAGGATGTGATTCTGTCAGTCAGAAGGTCATTTGTTTTAACTTGGATTTTGAATGGTAAATGAGACGCTTCTGCCAAATACAGGCTTAATATGTCCATGGTTTCTTGGCGACAGTTTTGTCGTGACATGCACTGCCAAACTCAGTAAGCCTGCACAACTATTGTTGCAACACACAATCTAATGGTTAAAGATGTAGGAGCAATGTGACTTTCAGGTTTAAGGTTATGTGTTCTTTCAAACTGCAAATAATGTCATTGGACGTAAAATGTATTTTGATTCCACATAAGACTAACTAGAAGTTCAGTGCTTTCGAACCTGGTTTAGGTTATTTACTTGACAATACTCTTCTGGTAACTATTTTCCATAAATGATCATATCAGGTAAGGGGATGTTAGTCTGAAAATATTATAGACTTAAATGCTTGAACATGGCACAATTATTAACTTCATTTTCTTGATTTTTCAGGTTAAATCGAGGTTATGGTCCTGCATCATACTACATGACAATTTTCACAACTCCTATTTTGGTTATCTTAGCAAAGTAAGTGAAGATTGTTTTGTCTTTTGTTTGTTGCTTAACCCGACACCCAGTACTATTTCTGCTATTACATGGCTGGCTGTAATGACAGCAACTGAGTATGAAGCAGAGATCCAATGATTGATATTATGAGCATCAATCTACGCTGTCTGGTTAAAATGACATGCAATCAACTTGTGCATAAATTCCATATTATTCAAGGACACAACAAAGGATATAACAATGGATTTTTATTCCCCATGGGGTGAAGTAGTATAGGTAATGGGGGTTCTGCCGCAACTCCACTGGAGCAGGATTCATATACCTATACTGCTACTACAGGTGGAATTTTTTATGCCAAAATGATGATGCGATTTAATGATAGTCATGAGATTAAGTTAAATTGGCTCTAGCTCACCAATACCTGGGACCAATCATTGCTTCTATTAGTGATGTGATTCAGCGAAAGTCGTTTTAAAAGAAATATCAATATTAATTAATAATGGATAAAATTTACTATAGCCCACGAGGATATTGGAAAGGTGTAGGAGCAATAAAAAAATTAGCCACCGCGGCTAAGGTATCTAAAGATGTGGCCAAGGATTGGTTAAAGAAACAAGCGATGTGGCAGATATATTTACCGGCACCGCGTTATATACCGAGGAAGAAGTTTGATATTTTTACAACGAATGAAGTTCATCAGGCTGACCTCTTGTTTCTTCCCCACGATAAGGTAAAACGCAAAACGTATAAATACGCTTTAACGGTAGTGGATGTGGCTAGTCGATACAAAGAGGCTGAGCCATTAACATCGAAAGAATCAACAGAGGTAGCTAATGCACTGAGTCGCATATATAAACGTGGACCGCTAAAATGGCCTAAGCTATTTCAAGTAGATCCCGGTCGCGAGTTTATGGGATCGGTAACTAAACTGTTAACAAAGCACGATGTCAAAATCGTCCGTGGTGAAAGAGAGGCCCACCGCAGTCAAGCTATCGTCGAAAGATTTAACAGGACATTAGCGGAACGTTTGTTTGGCTATCAGTATGGGATCGAAATGAAATCGGAGCGATTGAGATCAACCGAATGGGTGACACGATTATCAGCCGTTGTATCAGCGCTGAATAATGAAGTAACGAGATTAATAGGGAAGAAACCATCCCATGCTATTAAAATGAAATCCGTGACTTCCGAATCTTCAGCACCGAGGAGAGGCAAAGAACGAAAACTTCCGGATAGAGTAAGGGTAAGATATTTATACCAGGCCGGTGAACTCGAAGGAGGCCTACGTCGCGCAACCGATCCCATATGGTCCCTTAAGACGTATAACATTAGTCGATTGGTTACGAAAGAAGGAGAGCCTATTCTTTATTATCTTCAAGATGGACCGGGTAGGGCATTTGTACGAGAAGAGTTGTTCATAGTTCCCGACGGTACGGTATTACCACCATAACCATAAGCATAGGTATTTACACCATCATTATCAATCCATCTCTTTGTATCTAAGGGGGAGAATGATGTCTTGTTCATTCTTAATCCATATATCCTATGATCGTAACTTCTTAAAGAGTTCATCTCGTGTTTGAACGTTCTACCCTGGAATAATGATTCTTTATATTGTTCGTGTTTGATATGCTTTTTTACAACATACTTCTTAACACCCTTAGCTTTTCTTATCTCTCCATTATCGGACTTCTTTATAGAATACATCTTAGGTCTTAATCCCACATACTCCGCTATAGGGGTCCCAGCACATTCATCCTTCATCTTACCTAACACCTTTTTATTTACAACGCTGTGCAGTGGATTATCTTTAGGGTAATCGCTCGTGTCGTACATATCTATTTTTTCTGCCATATCTTTATACACATCCTCGGTTTGTATTTCCATCAACAAAGAATCTGTGTCGGTATATAACACCTGGCATCTATCGCTGTATTGCTTCTTAAGTTCGTTGTAATAAAAGTCATACATTAAGTGTTTTGACAAGTCGAGAATACTCATACCGACGTACACCGGTCTGTTGAATTTTATATTACTCTTCTGCATATGCAACGAGGCTAAGTCGTTATCAAATATCTTGCTTCTGTTAAAAGCCGGACTGGCTATAAGTTTCCTGAGTCTTTCTTCCTCATTAGATCTGACTAATTTAACATCAACACGCTTCCTTAGATTCTCCATAGTTTTACCAAATACCGAGTTATTCATGAGCTTATACAGATTCTTTTCGAAATCGCTGGTAGCTATCTTTCTTAAATCTGTGTTCAACCTTATATAGGGCTCCATCCAAGGGCTTTGATCGAACTTTAGAACTCTGTGTATTTTCTTAAGTTTCATACCTAACTATAGATACAACTGGAGATTTCTGTAGTGAACTATATATTTTGTCTTATCCATCAAATTTGGTACGAGTTTTTCTACGTTAGCTAACCTACTATTACCCATCAAGGAGCGTTGATATTCCGACATCCAATCTTTATTAACCATTAATCTTTCGGGAGCTAGCGGATAACTGTTATGATCTTTATGTAACGAACTTGGATATTCCAAGTCAACTTCTAGTATGTACCCTTTATTCACTTCGATATTATTCACATTGATATCATCGACCCATTCAAAACCACCTGTGGGTAAAGGTTGACTCATAGCCCATCCGTACAAATTGTTAGCGTCGAGATATAATATGTGCGTGTCGGGTTTACTGGGATCGTATCCTTCCACTAATTTATTATTAGCCTTAGAATACCTTTTAGCTGCCATCGATATACCACCTCTTAATCCTTTCTCAATAAACAAGTGCATATCGTAATCTGTGAGTAGTTTTAGTTCTACGCCGGTCTTCTTCAACAATGCATCCCATGATAGTCCCGGACTGGAATAGTACCATGCCGGATCCAAGCCGTATTGTTTGAAACACGTCTTTCTAAATATCTCGAATATATCGGCGAGTAACAGTACATCGGTTTTTAAGTACAGATCGTGATAATCGCCTAAATTCTTACAACCTAATTTATCCCAGACCGTCAGAGCGTGTTCATAATCGGCATCTGTTATTCTAGATTCTGTTAAGTTACTATAGAATGATTCGAGGGGTGGTAATTCAGTTTCTTCGAATCTAGACCAATCATCCATATATTCGTAAGGATATACACCTTTTCTCAGCAACAAATGACGAGTTATCTTATCGGTATATTTATTTGTTATCGCGAAGTCATCGGGATTGTTCGCATTAGCTAAATTGTCCAGGGAAGATAACAGAAACTGTACGGAGTCTATGAATCTAAGCCCATTACTTTGCTTTGTTCTAGATTTCCCATCCTTGTCCCTATAATGTATAGGTTTAGTCAACGAGAACGATATGTATTTTTCCATATTGTTAGGAATGCACGTTAAACCGCCGTCGGTCTTCGAGATAGCTTGCATAATGAGATGTGAATCGTATCCCCTAAGGTTATGAAACACAACGGGGATGGGTATTGTTTGAGAGTTCATTTTTAGTTTCAAGTTACACTCGTTATGAGCGGCTCCCCGATAATTACCCGTGACGTGGCAATGATCTCTTACGGAATCCCCATCCAGGGGTTTATTACAAACGTGACAACTCGTTGACTTCTTATGGACCCTCCAATCATCCCTCGTCATACGCATGGGTTTCATACACGATAATTTTTCCCTGATTATTCTCTCTTCATTTTATAGATATTCTAGGAACTTTCCCGCTGCATCGGGACCTCTGTAAATCACGGGCGGGTTTGTTTTCCCATCATACCTTACAACTATATATCCAAACCCACAAGGAATATGTTCTTGAGTTTTGTACGTAAAACTATTATCTTGATTATTATCTTGATTATTTTCTATGGGTTTGATAAGCGCTTCGAAGTCGGCGTAAATTACGTATTGTACTGGCATTTGATTACAATAATGTTCAAATTTTAATATATTTTTTCCTTCTTTAGGCATATCGATCCTGATAGCATTCTGTCCAACACCTCTACAGTCTTCTTTATGTGCTTCTAATAGATCTTGTCTGCTGTACCCATGCAGGCATCTTTCACAGAAATATTTCTTTTCTTTATGTTTTGTTTGATCGTATAGCAGCCTGTTTAAACTCTTTATCCACGTATAATGATATTTACCATCTTTTTCGATCAGAAATGAATTGATTCTGGGGATATTTTCCGGAGAGGAGCTTATCCTGTGTACAACAATTCCTTTAGAATGTCCGAAAACATTTATAGCTAAATTATTTTGCTTTTCCACCTTATCAATTTGTGATATTGGTGTAGGTTCGTCTATACCATCGAAGTTGAGTCCATCGTTTTGGGGATAGCTAGAAGGTCTATTTGCAATTTTAGAATCTACGGGGAACAATGCAGATCTTATCATCATTCTTAAACAGTCATCGGATTTATTTTTTACGTTAATTATGGCTTTTTTCTTCTTATAATACGGGGGTAAATCTATATAAGATCCACCTTTGAAGGGCATATAATTTGCTATATCTAAATATAAACTATCGATTTTATCCACACCCCAACCCGAACCTCTATTAGTCCAGTGTTCTAAAGTTTCCTGTATTCTCTGAATTGATGTATCTAATGATGAGTTTATAGTATTGGATTCGGTTATAACTTCTTGATTGCTACGGAAATATGGTTCGGTATATTCGGTGCTATCGTCTGTGTTACTTTTACTCAATGTCATTTTAATCGTCAGCTGGTATTTTATACTATGTAAATCATCTAATTCCTCGTTAATTTTACTCGATATGATGGGCTTAATATCGTTAACATCCATGTTGGAATTAATATCCATCTTCCAACCTCTTAGATATTTACCAACGCCGGCGGATGTGGGTACAAATATTAATTCTTGATGTTGATTATCATCATTATCATCATTATCATTATCAACATCATCAATAGGTTGATTATTATCTAGTAAAGCGATCAATTCAGCTCTTCTCATTCGAGAATAACCTCTCAGCCCACTGTTTCTCGCTCGAACTTTGAGTTCTCTAA